AAAAAAAAAAAAAAAAAAAAAAAAAAAAAAAAAAAAAAAAAAATGTTTTTTAACATCAATAGCTTTAAGCACATTCATAACTCATACAAGACATTAATAGCCCTCAAAAACTAAGCTCTAAATCAAACTTGGAGCTTAGACTTACCATGGAAAATTTGGTTTTGATTTTTGCAGAAGTGGTTTATTGAATTTCTGTGCAGTTGCTTTGGCCTTGAGCAATCTAGGCTACAAAGCGATTGGCATTCGCATTGACAGTGGAGACTTAGCCTACCTCAGTCAAGTAGCCAGAGAGTTGTTTGTAAAGCTTGCCAAAAAATTCGATTTGCCGTGGTTTGCTAAACTTACGATTGTTGCCTCCAATGACATTAACGAAGAAACTATTGTTAGCTTGAATGAACAGGTGATTGTCCATTATTAACTTGCTTTTTAAATCAATTCCATTAATACATATTCTTCTCATAACCCAATTTTTTTACTCTTCAAATTTATCTTGATACATTCGATGTTTGGTTGAAAAAAATTGTTTAATTTTTTTTTATAATTATTCCAGAATCATAGAATAGACTGCTTTGGAATTGGAACCCATTTAGTAACTTGTCAGAAACAACCAGCACTAGGTTGCGTGTATAAATTAGTAGAAATCAATGATCAGCCTAGAATAAAATTGAGTCAGGAAGTTGGAAAAGTGACAATGCCTGGCAGGAAAACTGCATATAGGCTATATGGTTTGGATGGTCATGCTTTAATAGATTTATTGCAAAGGGTTGAAGAAGAACCCCCTCAAGTTGGACAAAAGGTGCTATGTAGACATCCCTTTGAAGAATCCAAGCGTGCTTACGTTATTCCTACAAGAGTTGAAAGTCTACACAGGGTAACAACTTATAAACTCTACAATTATACAACAATCAAATATAAATTAAACATTTTTTTATTTTTTTATTTTTTATTTCCAGTTATACTGGCAGGATGGTAAAATTCGGCAGAAAATACCGACACTCGCAGAAACGCGAAATAGGGTGCGAGAGTCTCTGAACACCCTTTCAATAGATATAGTTATGTTCTTTAAAAATATAAGCACTGAGGTCATTTTTTTTTTTTTTAATTTTTTTTTTACGTCAGGTCACCATTTGTTGTGAGTTCATATTGTAAATATTTACAAGCGATGTTTATGTTCACAGTATTTTTATTTGAGACTAAGTCGATGACTCAAAAGCCAATATTAAATTATACTTAATCATATTAATCAATATTATCTATTTAAAATAGTTTGGAATTGAAGATAATATTGAAAAAAGCGTTTACATAGCAATTAACAATAATCCCACAAAACTAAATATTCCAGAACATCCTCAATTAAGAAACAATTAAAATAATAAGCCATTGTGAATCACACATTAATCTCGATGTCTTTATCGTGAAATCGATTTTTTTTAAATTTATTTTATTTATTTTTTTCATTTAAAGAGCCACAACTTTGTGCACTTTAAAAACAAGATAAAATATAAAAGCTCAAGCAAGAGAAATAAGAAAATTGTAAGCCAACATCCTACGATTGTGCAGAAGAAAAATCGCCGATGTTTGTATGGACACATTTCAGCAGTAATTTTCCGCAACTTTGAATTGTCACTTATCTCTGGAGTCATTATTTTTGCATTTATCGTGAAGATACGATGGCAAATGTGTATACGTTTATAAGAATGACAAAAAGTTTCGTTCCATTCATGATAAGTACATAACTGAGTGCAAAGAGATAGGACGGAAAAATTGATATAATTTTGCAACTCTATTGTCAGAAAAATGGGACATTTTTATCGTAAGCAAAACATCTTGTATTTTCCGTATACGTATCCATTCTTTAATCGTATGATTCAGTAATTACATATTTTCTCAGTATATCTGTCAACGCTCACTTGTAATCTGAATGAGATAACAATTTAAGTATAATTATTCCAACCGACATTTCTAAGTTGATAATAAGTTTTTAATTTTCATTGAGAGATTTTGTTCCTATGCATACATCGGATAACATATAAGATAAGTCATTATGAGGTCAATCAATCAAGTGCACGATTGTACATGGTAGATTTTTTTTTTAGAATTTAGTTTTTTATTTTTATTTACTATTATATATATGTATATACGTTGCATAACATTTATATTTACATGACATGTTGACCCACAAAAAAAATTATCTTTGAATACTTAAAATTTAGATATTCGATGGGATTGCACATATATCGATCGTCAATCATAATCNCCTTGACGCCTACACACATGTGCAGCTGATCGCCCTGCCAATGCCCCTCTCCTCCACCCCCCTTCTCGATGGGCCCTCCCTTCTCTTAGCGCCTCTTGGTCTCCCCCTCCCTCCCCCCTCGGCGTATCTTCTTTTTGCTCCGATCGTACGCGGATCATCGCTCGGAAGAGAGGGAAACAAGAGACGGCTATAGCTCTGTTTTGGCAACCTATGTGTGTGCGCGTCGGTTTTTACATCGCTCTCCCGTAAGTTCGGCTGTTCTCGCGTGGAGGCGCGCGGGGGCGTATTTTTGAACGAGCAGCAACAGCCCGCGCTCCGATCGGCCCCTAAGAGATCGTGTACGAGGGGATACCGATCTCTTTGACAACCACCGGGCGCCCACAGCCACAAATTTTTAGAGTAAAAAAAAAAAAAAAAAAATTCTAATGAACTGTTAAACTGTACAGACATAGTTCCAACACCGTTATCTAAACCAAAACAATACGGAACATGATTACAGATATAATTTTTTTTTTATTCTTATGGCCTTTACTTAGTGTAAAATAATCTTTCTTCGAATCCTCCAAAAGTACAAATATATAGGTCAACTTATTGGTAAAAGATAAATTGTAAATTTACCGCAAATAGCACAAACATTATCAACTTTTCATTTTATATCTATAAAAATAGTTGCGGCTGGTTTATAATTATATACATGGCTCTACTGTAAGTAGTAATAAATATTTGGATCAGCGCCATCTAGCGTTGCGAATTTCTGAATAAAAAGTGGCTCTAAACTTTTGACCCACAGCATTCGCTCTTAGAGCCACTTAGCTTATTATAAACCAGCCGCAACTTATTTTGAGGCTATAAAATAAAAAAATAATCATATATGTGTTTTTGGCGGCAAGTTAACAATCTATTTTTTACTCAAAAATTTATCTTTAAAAGTGTAAATACATAGGAGGTTAATTTTTTGGTAGAAAATAGATTGTTAACTTGCCGCCAAAAACACATATATGATTATTTTTTTATTTTATAGCCTCAAAATAAGTTGCGGCTGGTTTATAATAGGCTAAGTAGCTCTAAGTGCTAAAGCTCTGGTTGAAAAGTTTAGAGCTACTTTTTATTCAGAAATCCGCAACGCTAGATGGCGCTGATCCAAATATTTATTACTACTTGCAGTAGTGCCATTTAATTAGTTATAAACCAGCCGCAATTAATATTGTAGGTATAAAATGAAAAGTTAATATTGTTTGTGCTGTTTGCGGCAAGTTTACAATTTGTCTTTTACCCGAATATAGACCTTCAAAAGTATAAATATACACTTATACAAGCGCGGCGCTGGGTGCTTCTGTATTTTTATGTAGATGTGACCGGGCTTGCGTACACCAGTCAACAGTGTTAACAGGTAACAGCGGCAACAACAACAGTGAGATCACGATCAGTGGGTCTTCAGCAGCAGCGCTGGATCAACAGTGTACCAACGAGCCGAAGCAGCCGAGGCGCAAGTCCAGCTGCATCAGCAGCAGCGCCCTGTCGAGCATCGCCGAGGAACAGCAGCATCAGCAGTCATCGTCCCTCGGTGCTGTTGACGCTGTTGTTGTTATCGAGCCACCCGCTCTAACCGCCGCAGCCTCGACCTCCTCGTCATCCTTGTATTGCTCGTCATCGGAATGCCGCGGTAGGAAACGCAAGATGCAGCCACCCCACGACCAGGAGATTTGGTGCCGATCCAGGCAGAACGGCGTCGTGCAGCCCCTGCTCACGGGTAAGCAAATTAATGCGTCAAGCTTTTTTAGATCTTACCTAGCTAGATGCCCAAAAGGCGGCTAATATATTTTTGCACATCACTGTATAAGTGTGGGAGCAGTGCGTGGGTGACATGACATGCGTCTGCATCAAACTTTTTGTGCGCTTTGTTAAACGTATAAGTACTTGAGAATTGTGGCTTGTTTACGCGAGAGAGAAAAAAAACGTACCTACTTAATTATCCACAAGTGGACGGAGAGCAGAGAGCCTGTCCTGTGATTACGTGATGCAACTAGTCACAGCCACAGCCACATAATATACAGGCAGTTTCATTAAATTGTTTACACTCTGTTGCTGCTGATGCACATGCATTCTCGTAACTCGTATCGTTTCATTTATTTGTTATTATGACATGTGTCCAGAAGAAATCTTTTTGGTGATGGCTTAAATATATATATTTAAAAGAGCTGTTCCGTTGCTAAATATGCAGTTTTAATCTGTAGCGATGTCTCTCGAGAAGGTGGCTTTTTAAAAAAAAAGTCATTTACACGGCTGGCCCGTCAATAACACACTTGTGAGTCAGTCCGACTGTCCGCGAGTCTCTCTGACGTAATGCGAAAATTTGCTTAACAATCGCTTGGAGCCTATCTCGAATGAACTTTCAAGTTCAAATGAATCGTAACTTTTTTTTCTTCCTCATCTTCTCTTATATTTATATCGCTTTGTTGACTCTCCCGTTGTATCCGTGTGAAGATGGGGTTCTTTTGGCCCGTCTGCAATGCGAGTTTAAAAAAAGAATTGTTTTTTTTTCTTTTACAGATCTGTATCAAATCACGATGGCTTATGCCTATTGGAAGAACGGAAAGATAAACGATTATGCGGTCTTCGATCTTTTCTTCAGAAAGAACCCCTTTCAGGGTGAATTTACTGTGTTTGCTGGGCTGGAGGAGTGTCTCAAGTTCCTGGAAAAGTTTCACTACTCTGATAGTGGTGGGTAAATTCATTTTTATTGTATGAGGAGGGACCTTATAAGGTTTTGTGCATGACTTTTACTTCTTTTTTTAAATAAGTCTGACAGATGTGATTAAATAACTTTAGTTGTATAAAATTTGTATTGAAAATCTCCTAAAAGTAATTGTCATGCAATCCAAAAGTGAGTTAGTTTGAATAAGCTTTCAACTTTTGCAATTTTGTTATTATTAATTCAATTATGTTTCTAACAGATATTGAATATCTCAAATATGCGATGCCTGCATCAGTTGAGCCAGAGTTCTTTGATTTTTTACAAAATTCAACAGCTAGGGATGTTACTCTTTATGCCATTGAGGAAGGATCTGTAGTGTTTCCACGGTAATTTTATAAAAAAATATAATACCATCAAATTTCAACGTAATGCTTTTGAGAGAAATGTTGACGAAAAAATTCGTACGATTTGCAGAGTACCACTGTTAAGGGTTGAAGGGCCTTTGATAATGGTACAACTTTTGGAAACAACGCTGTTAACTCTGGTCAACTACGCTAGTCTAATGGCAACGAACGCAGCAAGGTATCGCATGGTCGCTGGCAAGGGAATTCGATTGCTCGAGTTTGGCTTGCGAAGAGCACAGGGGCCAGACGGTGGTCTCAGTGCTTCCAAGTACAGCTATATGGGTGAGAACATGGTTTATTCGGAAAATCAATATGAAGCATGAACTTGCACTCTCACACGATGCTCTGGAAACGAGTACCAAGTTACAAGGTCGCGATGTCGATTTATCTTTAAAGGTCGATTACCAGAAAGGGAACCGCTTTCAAACTTACTGTTCATATACACGTATACTTGTAACTCGCTCTAGAGCTAGAGGGTAATTATTTTTGTCGGCCCGTCATGGATGATATCATAAGCGGTATTCGTGCATACCTGATGGAGAAAATCAATTTCTTTCTATAGGTGGCTTTGACGGTACCAGCAACGTTTTAGCTGGTAAATTGTTTCACATACCTGTGAGTGGCACTCACGCACACGCCTATGTCACATCTTTTACCAGTTTTAATGATTTACCTGATAAGGTTTGTTAAAAACTAATTTTTTTGATTTTTTCTTTTTTTATTAATAATCATTGTTTGAGCGAACCAAAATTTTTAATTTTCAGACAGTACCCGACAAACATACTGGAGAAAAACGAGATCTCTTAGCATTGTCTTGTAAATATCGAGATAATATAGCGTCAGATTTAGGTGTATTAGTATCAGAAGCCTCTGATGGAGAACTGACTGCTCTTGCGAGCTATGCAATAGCTTTTCCAGATGGGTTCATGGCATTGGTCGATACTTATGACACTAAAAGGTACGTTCAAGTTTAATAACGACGTGTATTGATGATTGTGTCCTGTTATAGGTGCAGTTCGACTCATTCCATTGCTTTTATACATGTTTCTTGTAATTTCAATTAGACATCGTGATTTGCGTTTTAATGTTTTTTTTTTTTTTATCGCTTCTAACGTTATTTGTTCATTTATATATTAATTTAAAAAAAAAAGAGCACCAAGCCATTGATCCCGTCATTTACTGTTGTAATAAGCTAATATAATGTCGTGAGAGTTGATAATTAAAAAGGCTTATAAAGGATTAGAGAGCTTGCAAAAGTACAGCGCGAGTGACTCAAAGTCTAACAAAAGTGTGTTTATAGTGTTGACACAACGGCCAAGCCACAAGCAAATGTAACCGGCAATAACTTAACGAATAAGCTTCTAGCTAACGGAAGCAATAAGACACCTCGAAATGGTGCGAGACACATCCCAATTATATCTGATGAACCAACTTTGTCAAAGAGTGGCATAATAAGACAAAGTGAATTGGGCGAGCTCTATGTAAGGTACGGTCATGGCATACCTTTTTTGCTTTATCAAACGTGGAAATTTTATTTCACAAGACGCGACACTGTGTCTTTAAAGTAACTGCATCTTATTTCAACGGAAATATTCTTCAGTAAGATGAAGCAAAATCCATAGTATGAATCATTTTTTTCTTTTGCTTTATCAAACGTGAAAATTTTTAGCTACAGAACGCAATGCTGTGTCTTAAAAATAACTGCATCTTATTTTGACGAAAAAAATTCTCCAGTAAGATGAAGCAAAATTCATATCATGAATCATTTGTATATCATCCAGCAACTCTCAAAAGCATGAGAATCGTTTAAAAATAACAACGTGGAGCGAGCGGTTCTAATTTTAAAATATTAAAAATTTTCGTATCGTGAAGTACATTTTTTGCATTTATAATAATTATAATCGAGGCAGTGAGTATCGTATTGTTTCAAAACCCTTTAATATCGGCTTTGCGTATTTGTACCATAAATTATAAAATGTTAAAGAAGAATACCTTGGCTTACAATCAGTTACCACTAGAACTGCACATCCGTGACAAGAAGTTGACCAATCTAATTTGTACTTTTTTTGGCATGATTTTTTCTTCGTTTGGCTTTTTTTGTTAAATTAAATGATTTTAATACAAAATAACCATATCCCAAGGAAAAATTTGTTGTAACTTAACTATTTTAATATTCTAAAACATGCCTTGTCTTACTAATATTTTAATACTCCGAAATAAAGCTCTTTGGTCGATAAAATTTTATGTTATAAAATGAATCGTTTTAAACTAATATTTCCTGTTTAAAGACACGACCTTATGCAGTGCCCTTCCCAATTCAATTTTGTCAAGCATTATAGCATTTATTTTTTTTAAATGTTGTTGCTCATGACGGTTGGCACGTTTAATTTTTGCTTCCGATTCATTCATATGGTTTATATTTATTGCATGGGTAATTGAAAAAAAAAAAAAAAAAAAAAAAAAAAATGTTTTTTAACATCAATAGCTTTAAGCACATTCATAACTCATACAAGACATTAATAGCCCTCAAAAACTAAGCTCTAAATCAAACTTGGAGCTTAGACTTACCATGGAAAATTTGGTTTTGATTTTTGCAGAAGTGGTTTATTGAATTTCTGTGCAGTTGCTTTGGCCTTGAGCAATCTAGGCTACAAAGCGATTGGCATTCGCATTGACAGTGGAGACTTAGCCTACCTCAGTCAAGTAGCCAGAGAGTTGTTTGTAAAGCTTGCCAAAAAATTCGATTTGCCGTGGTTTGCTAAACTTACGATTGTTGCCTCCAATGACATTAACGAAGAAACTATTGTTAGCTTGAATGAACAGGTGATTGTCCATTATTAACTTGCTTTTTAAATCAATTCCATTAATACATATTCTTCTCATAACCCAATTTTTTTACTCTTCAAATTTATCTTGATACATTCGATGTTTGGTTGAAAAAAATTGTTTAATTTTTTTTTATAATTATTCCAGAATCATAGAATAGACTGCTTTGGAATTGGAACCCATTTAGTAACTTGTCAGAAACAACCAGCACTAGGTTGCGTGTATAAATTAGTAGAAATCAATGATCAGCCTAGAATAAAATTGAGTCAGGAAGTTGGAAAAGTGACAATGCCTGGCAGGAAAACTGCATATAGGCTATATGGTTTGGATGGTCATGCTTTAATAGATTTATTGCAAAGGGTTGAAGAAGAACCCCCTCAAGTTGGACAAAAGGTGCTATGTAGACATCCCTTTGAAGAATCCAAGCGTGCTTACGTTATTCCTACAAGAGTTGAAAGTCTACACAGGGTAACAACTTATAAACTCTACAATTATACAACAATCAAATATAAATTAAACATTTTTTTATTTTTTTATTTTTTATTTCCAGTTATACTGGCAGGATGGTAAAATTCGGCAGAAAATACCGACACTCGCAGAAACGCGAAATAGGGTGCGAGAGTCTCTGAACACCTTACGCAACGATATTAAACGGAATTTAAATCCTACGCCTTACAAGGTAAATACGTACAACCAAAATCTCAGTTTGTTTTTACTAATACCACTATAATATTGTATGCCTATTATAAACATTTTGTTACAGGTATCTGTTAGCGATCACCTGTACTCTTTCATCCACGATTTATGGCTTCAAAATGCTCCGATTGGTGAATTATCTTGAAGCAATTTTTTTTCATCACTTATAAAAAATTACCAAAGCTTGTACTTTTACAAGCGTAAAATCAACCCACAGTTCTCAATTTATGAGAACACTAACGGTCATAAAAAGCAAATAATAATTATAAAAAGTAAGCATAATAGAGGATGTAAAAAGTAACTATTTCAGAAAAATCCATAGATACTTTTAGGGGCCTTACAGTGATAAAGTTAATAATGTTGTTGAAAAAAATTTGAATTATACATGTGTCATGAAACGAAAAAAACTAGGACAATAGGTAAAAAATTACATTTATTTTTTGTGAAACATTTGTAACAGAAAAAATCAAACATGCCTACAGTCATCCAAAAAAAAACGTATTTTTCAAATATATCTCGTTAAAATGAATAATGAAACTGTTAAATTTTGAATGTGACATTGACAAAATAAGTTTTGACAATGATGAACGTATTAAAAATTTCTGACTTAATAACGAAACTGGTAGAGTTTTTGTAGTAGTACAAAGGCACCATTACTAATGTAGGCAATTATACTTAAAAAATAAATTATTTTGTGTAATAACTGTTAACATTTTGACTACAGTTTTTTTTTTTTAGTAATCAGCCATTTTATAGACCAAATTTTATAAGTTTAAGTACTTTCTTAAAATGAATTTTGAACTATTCATGTCACCAAGATTTCGAGACATACTTGATAATAATGTAGGTTGCTATAAAACGTATTTGAATATGTAGTCAAAATGTATGCATATTTGAATATCAGATTCATTCTGGTATCATAGTGTTTTTGGAAAAAGAATCAAAGTAGGAAGCTTAGAGATTCCTAAAAATTAGTCTACACGCATTTGGGACTTGTAATTATTTCATATCATTTAATTGATAACATCTTGAGAAGTGATACTTCTAATCTCTAGTCTGGAGAAACTACGTTAAATATATGTAAAAAATTGTATGTATAGCATTGATATGTATGTTTAGACTTTTATAAATTCCTTAATCGATTTTATTTGAATTTACCCGTCATATGTAAATGTCACACTCAAAAAGAATATACGCACATAAATATGAGAGCGCATTTATTGTGCCGTTAATGTGTTATACAATTATATGCTTTTAATAAAACGAAACTAATCTAGTAAATGTTGTTTTATTTTAACCGATCAAAAATCACGTTTTAATGGTACTACTCGATACATATTAATGATTATCAAAGCCTTTCAACAAAACAAAATATACTTTATATCATCGAGCTCAACTGCAAAAATTTTATCACAACAATAAAAATACCACTGTTTGCAAGTACCTACTTACTTACTGCGTTCGGAAAAATAAAAATCATGGAAAATAACTTCATGAACCTTTACCGTACACACTTCAGAGTGGTGATCGTAGTATCGGCACTCGGTATGCTTCTCCATATTTATGATAAAAAAAGATCCCCTCCCTCTGCTTTCCTTACTTTCTTACACGTATAGCTTAGCAAACGCAGAAAGGATATTCGCATAAAAAATGTGGATCGTTTGCAAAACTTTGTAAAAAAAAACATTGGGGCTGTTTTACAATTAACAATACAAACACTGCGTAAAAGGCAAAAGAGATTAGTTATAGGGGGGGGGGGGTGTGCATTCCGAGCTCCGAAATGGTAACGATAACAATAACCAGAACGGATCGAAACGTAACGTAACCTGTCTCGGCTCGGCTCCTTGCGGCCTGAGCCAATGCGCGTTTTTACTATTTTACATTGTGTTTCTTTTAATACAAACAATCAACAAATTCTAACAAAGCCTACTCTGGCTTTAAAACATTCCATACTTAATTGTAAGTGTCACCTCGCAAAGGATTCAAAGTAAGTACGGACTTGATCTCCAGAGAAGCTTGCTGCGTATATTATAACCTCTAAAGCTTTCCGGCTTCCATCGTGTTTACGTCCGTGTGTGTATGTGTATGGGCGAATGTTTGTCTCCTAAACAATTTCTTTGACGGTGACCTTATCAGGTTTTATATTATTGCTCAGGATCCAGGAAGCATGTACTTCGTCTGTTCGACATCCTCCGGTTCTCTGAGTACTTAAATCTTGATTGTAAGTTACATCGTGCTTAATGGAGTCGAAACTCCGAACAGTGTGTTTGTGTTTATGTGTGTGTGTGTAGACGCCATAACTTTGTTTGGTTACCTTCGTTCTTTTGTCGTTTTGTTTTGTTGGCTTTGTTTCATTTTGTTTTGTTTTGTTTTGTTTTTTTTTTTGTTTTTTTTTTTTTTTTCATGCTCCGGATTTCCCTTTCATGATTTTAACTACTTAGAGGTCAAGAGGTTGTAACGATTATTTTGCTCTATTTTTGACTCGTACAATACATGCACATAAGCAGTACCTAACTATTCTCGCATAAGCAAGTATTTATGGATTCGATTTAAGTACTTAATTTAACACCAAAGTCACTATGTATAGTAAATACTACGTGTATGTATACTATATATTAGAATTAAGATTAAAATGACGGTGTGATTAAATAATCATTCTCTTTCAGGTAAAAAAAGCAATGGCTGCTCGACTTCTAAAAGATCCAGCGACTGCTGGAAGCAGAATATTCATAGGTCATCTCCAGACTGAAGATATGTCCCGTAACGAGTTGGAAGACCACTTCTCCAAGTATGGAACGATTGTTGGTTCATTGCTGAACAGAGGTTTTGGTTTTGTACAATTTGAGAATGAATTGGATGCTCAGAATGCCATAAAAAACGAAAATGGCTCTATGTTTAAAGGCAGAAGAATAGGTAGAGTACAATTGTATCTTAACAATTTTTTTTTTTTTTCATCAAGCAGCTAGGAGATTATGTCTTAATGCCCTTAATCTTGACTTTTTTTTATTTAAAGATGTGAAGCCAGCCACAGGCGGCAAAGCAGCTGTCGCTGCTGCCGCTGCTGCTGCAGCTGGTGGTGGTGGTGGTGGCGGCGGTGGTGTTGGCTCTGGCAATTCTGGGGGTCCTGGTGGTCCAGGAGGTTTCGGAAATGACTCTTTCAACAGCGGCAACTTTGGAGGTGGAAATCAGGGCTTCAATAATTCCAAATCATTTGGAAATGATAACCAATTCAATCGAGGTGGTGGTCCTGGAGGTCTTGGTCCTGGATTAGGAGGACCAGGAAATCTTAGTGGAATGGGAGGACCAGGAAATCTTGGTGGAATGGGAGGACCAGGAAATCTTAGTGGAATGGGAGGACCAGGAGGTGCTAATAGTGGATCAGGAGGCCCAGGAGGTGTTAGTAGTGGACCTGGCGGTTCTTTCAACGATCAAGAAGACTTTAATAATAGAAACGATTCGTTTAATCCAAACAAAGATCAAAATAATGGGCCACCCTTTGGAGGTCCTGGAAATCGAGGGGGTCCTGGAAATCAGAATAAAAACCAAAATCAAGGGGGAAACCAAAGGCAAAGAGGAACTCGAGGTGGTAAAAATCGAAAAAATAGAGATTCCTCTATGGATGATCGCATGGGTGGAGGTATGGATGATCCGTTCAATGATCGAATGGGAGGACCCGGCGATCGCATGGGAGGACCTGGAGATCGGATGGGAGGACCTGGGGATAGAATGGGAGGACCTGGTAATCGCATGGGAGGACCTGGCGATCGTATGGGAGGACCCGGTGATCGCATGGGAGGACCCGGTGATCGCATGGGAGGACCTGGCGATCGAATGGGTGGACCCGGTGATCGCATGGGTGGTGGTATGAGCGGAGGCATGGGTGGTGGTATGGGAGGAGGGATGGGTGGGGGCATGGGAGATCCAGGAAGAGATCTCGGATCTGGCTTAGGATCAAGCTTCCGATCAGGATTAGGTGGCGGTCTTGGAAGTGGATTAGGCAGTAGTTTTGGTAGCCTCGGGAGTGGTATTGGTGGAAGCTTAGGAAGTAGCTTTAGAGACAGAAGCCCACTGGGAAGATCTGGACGGCCCATGGACGACAAATCAAATCCATTAGCCAACTGGGAACTCAATAAACCATCACAGGTTGGGTCTGGAGGTCCTGGACCAGGTGGGCCACCTGGACGTGGAAGCTTTGGTGGTTTTGGTGATCACAAGAGTCGCTTTGATGACTTCAAAGGACTGGGAGGTCCTGTAGTATCTGGAGGACCTGGAGGCCCACTAAGAGATGGACCAGGATTTGGGTAGACGTTTATTTTTATTTATTTATTTATTTATTTCTTTATTTTNTCGCGCAAAATTTTACTGTTCATAAGTAACCATTATTTAAAACTTTGAATCCATTGGTACATTATTAATTGATATTTTTCAGCCCAGCTGTACCAAATGACTATCCATCAATCGCTGCAGAGAAAAATGATTGTGAAATTATCGTAGTCAACAAAATGTTAACGTAATATATTCATACATATCATATCTAAATGAACAACCTCTGTATGCTCGTAAGCAAGAAGATTAATTTTTCTATGATTTTTATATTTTTACAGAGAGTATGCTGAAATGATCGAATCACGTTTGAAAAAGGAAGGATTAACAGTTGATTTACTCTTCCCAAATGAAGATGTACCACTGACTCGAGTACTTGGAAACATATGCAGTCGCGGTTGTTTATACGCCATTGTTATTACACCTACTAATGAAAAACACCGCTCTTTAACTTTAAATATTTTACATGGATTGCCACAAGGTAATATTATATGTCGTACATGAGTAGCTATTACATAGTGATTCAATTCAAAGATATATAATTTCAAATTTGGGATGCTTGTATTTATTACAGAGCACAGAAACATGCCAGTCGAAGATGCTGTATCGTTGATTGGGCGTGATTTTAAAAACTACAAAACCGGAGGAAGATCTGTACCATCGAATATCCCTCAGTCACTTGACCGTCATCCTGATGCTATCCAAGTTCTTCTCAATATGTTGGCAGATAATCTTCAGTTGACCGTACTTCAGTATGAGGGCTTGATAAAGTACTTAACCATAAGGCGAGAAGAGCAAGTACAGCTAGAATTAGGCGAAGATTTGAAAACTCTAGGCGCAACACCTTTGGTCAGCGACCCGAAACAGGCCGAGCTACAGTCTAGAATATTAAACATACTCAACAGCAACAAAAACCCATCGGTAGCGCCGGTACCCCCAGTTGTCGAAGCTGCACCTAGTCCAGTTCCACCTCCAGCAGGTAAAATAACCGCAGTAACGTAGTTTTGCTCTGTGATGACTATGATGCCGATCGCAATCGTAGGTTGTGCATCAAACTTTGTTTTTGTCCGAAAGATAACTCAACACGCACCGTACGGTTCTCATCGTATTCCGCCAATGTTTTCACGATCTGTTTTTTACGTCTCCATATTCTGATTTGTTTCCAGCTTGTTTTCGTTCAAATATCGTAAATATTTGCGTTTATCGCTTGAATCGAAAAAATTTTTTTAAAAAACAAGCATAAGACAATCATCCTTTAGCGCATTAGTTCTGCGCCGTTGCGTTTTTCATTGTTACTGTGCGATACATCGACAACCCTCTGAACTACCTAAAATCATTTTTTTTTTTTTTTTTTTTTTTTTTTTTTTTTTTTTTTTTTTTTTTTTT